GATGGATGGATGGATGGATGGATGGATGAATGGGTGGATGGATGCATGGACAGATAGATGATACATGGATCGAAGAAGGTGTGGATGGATGGATGGATGGATGGATGATAGATGGAGGGATAGATGGATGGAAGAAGGTGTGGATGGATGATGGTTAGATGAATGGGTGGTTGGATAGATGGACGGATGGATGAATGTGCGGGTTGATGGATGGATGGAAAGATGATGGATAGATGGACGCACGGATGGATGGATAGATGATGAATGGGTGGATGGATGATGGATGGATGGATGGATGATGGATGGATGGATGGATAGATGGATGTGTGAATGGATTGATGGATGGATAGATGGATGGATGGATGTGTGGATGGATTGATGGATGGATGGATGGATGGATGGATGGATGGATGGATGGATATGTGGGTAGGTGGTTGGATGGATGGATGGATGGATGGATGGATGGATGGATTATGGATGGGTGGATGAATATATGGATGGATAGATGGATGAATGGGTGGATGGATAGGTGATAAATGGATGGAAGAAGGTGTGGATGGATGGTAGTTGGATGAATGGGTGGTTGGATAGATGATAGATGGATGGAAAGATGATAGATGGATGGATATATGGGTGGATGATGGATGGAGGAATGGGTGGATGGATGAATGGATGGTAACTTAGTGCAGTAGTGAGCCATGCAGTGTGCAAGACCTCACAATGCTCTTCTCAATTCTAGATCCTCCTTCAGCAAGAGCTGATAGACTTGGACATGGAAGGGCTGCTCTCTCTTCTCTTTACCCCCACCCTCCACTCTGAAAGTTTGTTGCTTACCCCTGTGCTGTACTCTCCTGTGCCTCTGTGGCATTGCTAACGTACAACCATCTCCTGAAACTTTTTATCCTTTCCTTTTCCTCTTGTGTGACCCGGGCTCAGCCTTCAGAGGTGAACACACTCTCCTCCCATCCCTGAATCTCTCTAGATTGGACTCGGGTGCCCTGACCCTTCCTTCCTCCCATGCTCCCCATGTCCCAGCACTGGTGACACCATGTTCTGCTTATCAACCATCCAGTCTCCTAGCACAGGGGCAATTTCCTGTACATCTTTCCACACCCAGCGCCAAGCCACCCCAACCCTGCCCGACAGGTGACAGCCCATCTAAACATACTGAATGACACCAGTTAACTTATCTCATACCTGTCAGAGCTCAGAGATGTAAAGTGACCCGCCCAAGGTCACACAGATAGATCAAGGAGGAGCTGGGCTGGGAACCCAGGTCCTGTTTGCACCGCTGCCCACACCCCTGCCCACACCCCTGCTCTCTCGCAGGACCACGCCCCCTGGATCCCATACCTGAGTATCGTGTGCATTCTGGCCATCATAGCCTCCTTCTGCAGCGGGCCAGGTAAGAAGCGCCTCCTTCCTCACCGCCGCCACCGAGCTGGGGTGTTCTCGTTGTACAGATGGGAGCGAGGGGCAAGGCCCACCTGAGAGTGGAGGGCAAGAGAGACTTCCCTACCCATTTGAATGCAATGATGACCTTCCTTTCCATCCCACAGATGGTAGCTAGCTGGTAACAGGCTCGCCCAGAGTGGGGTGACTGATAACGTAGAGCAGCGTCACAGCTACAATAACAGTTGCAAGAGCTCTGAGCCAGATGCGCTAGCTTGGGCTGAATGGGAGATACTCAAGTTACGGTCTGTGCCCACAGAGAAGTGACCACTTAGCGTGGAAGATATAACAATAATAATAGTGATAATAGTAATGTCCAAGATTTGCTGATCACTGGGGATGTGCCAGACGTGGCCAAGTACTTGATGCGTGCTGACTCGTCTGGGCTCGTGGCAGCTCTAGAGGAGGCAGGGATGGGAACGACTTGCATGCAGAGAGCTTTGTTGGACTCGCCCGACTCCCAGGACCCCAGCCACCACCTTATACTGGAGCTGCCTGAGGGTGGAGTCTGGAGCGTTCTGAGCCTCCATGTGCCCAGGACACACTTCCAGCCTCCACTCTGCCATTTCCCTATGGGACAAGTCCTCTTCTCTCCTTGGGCCTCAGTGTCCCCATCTATAAAATGGCCCTGCCTTTCCCTGGCTCTGTGTCTGTGTGCTCAGGGGCCCCCACCAGAGGCCACGCTGGGGCTGAGAAGGGCTTCAGGGCAGGTCTGACAGTTGTGCACATCCGTCTGGCGGGTGTGGCTGTGGTTCCTTGTTTTGGCTTGTATGTGGATGAAAACAACAGTGTGTTTCTATCAGAACAAATAGAACTGAATTTCTGTTTCTCCCTTTGTGTTGCTGCTTTTCACGGGTGTCAAGCTCCCTGTCCTGTCACGTTGGTGGACAGACAGCATCTGTCCCCTGTTCAGGACAGCAGTATGTTATAGGGAGGTGGCAGAATGGGCTGTGGAACGGCTGGCAGAGGGCATTAGGCCTGCACGTGTGTGTGCACACACCCGGGCACACACACCCTCACCACGTTGTGGCGGTGATTGGAGGGACCTTCCAGGCGGGGCAGCAAATTGACTGGAGGGCCACAAGGAGCACACATTGCAGTTAAAGCAGATTCAGCGGGTAAACGTGCTCAGTCCTATGGGGTCCCCCTTTGCTCCCTGTGTGGTCAGCATTCTCACGGGAACCCCTGCAGGGGGGCAGCCAGAGGCTCCCCACTAGCCCTGGAAACACCGGGGCGCAGACCAGAAGGACGGCCTCTGCTCCCACGGGGCTTATAGGCTGGAATGAAAATCAGACATCGGGCCTGGGGGAGCCTCTCTCAACCTCTTAATCGAAAATCAGCATTCACATGCATACACGCACACAGGTACACACATGTGCATACCCACGTTTCCATGCATGCACACATGTGCACATACATACACACGCAGGTGCATATGTGTACATGTTCGTGCACATACATGCAGAGCCATGTGAGCACATGTGCAATACACACACAGGCACATACGTATACACACGTGCACACGCATGCATACATGCACACGAGTACACACAGGTGCGTGTGCATGCATATGCGCGCACACATTTACATATATGTGCACATGCACACACAACATGCGCATCTACACACATGCACCACGTGTACACATGCACACAAGTACGCACATGTGCACACTCACGTATGCAGGTGTGCACACACAGGACAAGTGCAGCCACTGAGGGGAAGCTTTCGGTTTCATAGTGTGATTGTAGTGTTTTTGGGTTACCTTCTTCCATGACAGCTGTTTTCCCAGCAAGAACAATGAATGTTGATGTTTTATCTCAGTGGACGTCTTCTCCCCGTCTCCTTCACAGATAGGCTAACTGGGACGATCCACAAACCTGAAGTGCATTCCTGACCCAAACTGCTAAGCTTTGTCTTGTGTTTTGTCCCAAGTCCTCACTCTTCCTACCGCAGTGTCGATTTCACTGGTTTTCTTCAAATCACAGAGCCTGCTGAGTTTCTGGCAGTTTCGACCGTAAGCTCTTCCCTCAGCATCTGGGAGTCTCCCTAAAGGGAGGTCCGTCTGCCCTCCCTAATTCCATATCAGTGTGGGCTCCTATCCTCTGCTCCCCAAGCCCCACCGTGTTCCCCAGCAGCCAGGCCTCACCCGCTAGCCACTAGTTTAGCTACGAGATTGGCCAGGCTTTAGAAACTTCTCTTGAACTCACATCAACAATGTACAGCTTAAGCCCCAGGGAAATTACCCAAGGGAGGCTGCCATTTGGGTCAGGAGATCATCTTCAGTGGACAGGAGGGAGCGGATCCCAAGAGGAACCGCGCTGGGAAATTGTGGCTCAGAAATGCTGAGAGATAAAGGGCTGTGTGACTCCCCATTTGAGGCTGCCCCTCCAGGATTAAGGGAAATGGATCATCCCCCCAGGAAAGAAAGCAGGCGTTTGCCTGGGGCAGCTTCTGTGATGAGCAAATCAATTCAAGGAGGCTTGACAGGGAATTGAAATTAGGTGCAAGGCAAGACAGAAACAGGGAAGGCGGTTTCCTGCTACATATTTTATTTGTGCGCATAACCCCAAGGCAGTGGCCGAGACAGCTAATAAATGAGGCACCATAAAAGAGCTTATCTTTGAGGAAAAGGAGATGTCTCCAAAGCACGTCAATTACGGTGTGAAAAATCTTAGCTGCTGGGGCTCTGTGCCTGGCATGAAGTTAAACTCTCTAAGGCCGGTTTCGGTGCTGGTGGGGAGGACAGACACACCGCCATCTACCCAGAAACACTGAGTATGGTCACTGCGCTTGGAAGGTACAGTTTAGGAACTGAACGCTCCAGAAAGCTAGAGCAACCCTGATGGGGACGTACGAATGCCTGATGGGTGCGTGTGGGCAGGGAAAAAGGACTCCCCTACCTATCACATTGGTTGGATCTGGAAAGACGATGACCCACCCACTTGCATTAAGCGGTCCAGAGCTTCCATGGGGTCAAATCAGATGACTCAGTTCCCCTCGGAAGTTAGGAAACTATGTGCAAAACAGAATGACAAGGAAATTAATTTTCTAACCATGCAGAATTCACTGGGTAGGAGAAATGCGTGTGTCTACATTAAAACAGACCTACAAATCAAGAGAGAGATCCTGACGCCAAATCAGTGTGTGGCCCTCACTTTTGAACCTGGCTTCATGACAGTTAAATGAGAATGCCTCACGAACCCGGGTTAAACACGTAGCCGTCATTGCTCAGGACACATCCACGTCCCTACAGTGTGTTCACACAGATGGTGGGCTCTAACTGGAGGGTTGTGAGTCCCAGTCCCAATTCGTAGCAGTCCCAGTGCCAGCCGGAGACCCAGCCTCCACGCCCGGTACCACGTAGGATTTGGGAGATGCCCTTCTGAAAACTACCCTGTAAACACTTAACTATTACATAAGCTTGAAATTAGGTCAAGGTCCAACAGGAAGGTACTGGGAGCTGGGAATTTAAAGGGACCTGGATGAATGGCCTGTTTGCAGAGGTGTGGGCATGGCGAAGGGACTCGGCAGAAAAGGTGCAGGTGCCTCAGCAGCACAAGTAGGGGGAGGCTGCGGCCGACCCCCCAGCCTGAGCAAGCGCGGGATAGGCGAATTTTCATTGAAATCAATTTCTCCCTAAGAAGAGAATTAAATGCAAAGAAACAAGATTGTGTCGGGTAAAACTGAACTTTGAATCTGCACAAACCATTGCGATACTTCAGATTTTTTGCTGCCACTCTCACCCCCGAGAACCGATTTTTACCCGAGCTGAGACCCCAGCTGAGAATGCATTTTTTTTTTTACCAATTTTTTTTTTTTTTTTTTTT